AACTCTCCAAGGCTAATGTCCCTTTTGCAATGTTGTTTAAGATGAATCTGAACCCAACGAATCGCTATTGTACTGTGCCCAGAATGCAGTCCCAGAATTCAAATTTTGTATTGAAGAGCTGGGTGAGCTATTGAGTGCTCCAAGATATTTGAAGACTTCGCTGCCACTTCAATCCACACGCTAGAGAACAAGAAGCCAACCGCTTTACCAGATTATTAACAAAATGTTGACAATTTCCCAGTGTATTTGTTAGCTTAGCTTGTTTTTATGTGCTATTTCCTCTAGTGCCAAGTCTACACAGCACTCGGCTTGCCCCTGAACCACATAGGCCACTAATCTGGGTGGAAGGACCTCTGATACTAATTTGCATTAACATTAAAAATTTTGCAACCTCTTGTGTATAGTCATCAGAAAAGGCATCAAGAGAATTTCTGGATATGGTGTCATGCAAGCACAATACTAGAGCAAAGCTTTAGTGCCACTGTATTATAGGCATTGCTCAGACAAATGGGAGAAAACACAAAAAGAGCCTTTCTCAGATAGAGATCGAAATCCACATGCATTCCAGTTGCGTCTCTGTATTCTTGGCATCCTTCCGCCCACAGAATGACCAACCCAATTACAATTCCCACATTATGGTATCAGTGTAGCCTTTGGGTATTTCACAGTTTATTGCCTGCCCTTACTCTCAGTACATCTGGTCACATTACTTTTTATTGCTTGCCATTATTCCCTGTTCATCTGATTAAACATCATGCCAATCTGTATCACACATTATGGTGATGATGGCAGTTCTGAGGGTTGTGGAGTCCTAAGCTCAAATCGGTGCCCTCCGGTTCGATCCCTGGCATTCCTTTAACATTAAATGGGAATATATGGAGCTGAGATCTTGGCATGCAGCAGTCTGTTTTTTTTGTAAGTAAGAGTCCCCGCTCTTTTTCAGTGGATTGATATTTTGAAGTCAACAAAATAAAAAGGGTGCCAAAGGACTCAAATGCATTTAAACATTACAGACACATTGTCATGGAAGGAGAAGAAAGGAAGGACGAGACAAAGATGAACAACTGATCAGGGTTTTCTTTCCTGCAATTCTTATTTGAACTCACCTGAATTTCCTCAAGTTTAATTAATATTAAGTAGTACTTACCAGGAGATTTGACTGATGTTTAAGGATAGGGATGTTACACTGTCAACAAAACTTAACATTATGCCCAGTAACATTAATAATCAACAAGAAGGCAAGACTGATTACGACACAAACACAATCACTACAGCACAGCTCTGTATTAGATAGTCGTAACACAAGACACAAAGATCCTGTGGACATTCACTGATTAAATCATCTTTAAAAAATGCAAGATACTTCAGCAATTTGTTTAATAAGTCACTGAAGAGCCTGCAATTCTCAGATTACATCAGACCATTTGTATCATGTACGTAATGAGATAACCAGCACAATAATAAAAAAATTAAACAAATTTACAATACCATTCTAAAGAAAGCTATGAATTATTAAAATCAAACTAAATCGCACAATTTCATTGATCAGGAAAATAAAGAAAAAAGGAGGGACGGTTTCTTTATGATACATGAAAGGCCGCAACAGACTACACCCAGTAGTCAAACAGACTACAGCATAAAGTTCACGTCATGACTTGCATCTGCAAACTTAAATTCTCTTACAGCACTGTAATCACGGACATGGACAGTCAAGTTAAAATTTACTGAGTCACAGTACAAATTTGAACAATTCAGTCCATGTGTGGCATTTGTCACAAAGTAGGCACAAGACATTTTGCTAGGGGGTACAATCCAAATCACTCACTAACTGACAAAAGGATTTGCAGTGTGGTCAGACTCAACTTTGTTAATTGGAGACAACAAGGTGCAGAGCTGGATGAACACAGCAGGCCAAGCAGCATCATAGGAGCAGAAAGGCTGATGAAGGGTCTAGGCCCGAAACGTCAACCTTTCTGCTCCTATGATGCTGCTTGGCCTGCTGTGTTCATCCAGCT